ATTACTAGTTATTATTATTAACTTTATAGATAAATTATATAACTTATTACTATAACTAATAAAGAAACTAAGACTACTAGCTTAAATAATAGGTTTATAGAAGTAAAAAAAATTAGTAATTATAGATAAGAAATATTTATTAAGGAGAATATATACTTATTAAGAGTATTAAAATCCTATATATAAAGGCTCTATATATAGAATAAATATATTAATCTTTAGTTACTTTAAGTATAGTTAGTATAGGACCTCTAAAAGAATATAAATCTAGTATAACTAAGAGTAGAGATATATCCCCTAAAGGGATCCTTATCTAAAAAATAATTACTATAAGCTAATATATAGTTATAAGATACATCTTACTACTAGAGAATAATAACTAATATATAGCCTAAGTAAGTATATTCTTTTATATCTAGCTTCTTCTTCTTATTAAACTTCTAGATAATTAGGTAAATAATATTTATTATCTTTAATATACTTTTATTAGGCCTACTAAGATAAGCTTCTACTACTAGTAAGAGGTAATTACTAAAGCTAGGAAGAGTATTTACTAAACTTATTAAAAATAATTATATTCTCTTAATAGATAAGATAGCCTTTACCTTTCTTTTATAAAGTACTTATATTTACTAAATATAAGAAGAATATAGAAGACTAATATATAAAAAAAGAGGTTTATTAAAAGAAGATAGTAATTAATATAATAAAAAGAAAGATGCTTATAGGAGAAGAAAAGAAGAAGAAAAAAAGAAATATAAAAGATAAAAAAAGAATAAGTAAGATAAAGTAGACTTATCTAAAATTAAAATAAATAATATATAATCTTATCTTACCTCTATTATAATAACTATACTAGTAACCCTCCTTACTAAGCATAATCTAATACTACTTACTAAGTATAATCTAATACTACTTACTAAGCATAATCTAATACTACTTACTAAGTATAATCTAATACTACTTACTAAATATAACCTAATATTACTTACTAAGTATAAATCTAATCCTACTTACTATATATAATGTCACCCCCTTAGACTATAAGGATCTTTTAGTAAGGAGTTAGATAACTTACTAAGGATAGGCTTTATCTTAAGTAGGGGAGGATATAATATTAGTAAATAAATATATAAAAATATAGTTATATCTCTTCTTTAAGTCCTTCTCTATAGTATTTAAGTAGAAGATCTATAAATATTTAGAATTCCTAAAATCTAAGAAAGAGATAGTCTTCCTACTTATAAGACTATATCTAGGTATAGAATAAAATACTTATTAAGATCTCTTATATAGAGATAAGGATTTTTAAGGCCTTAGAAACTTAGAGAAGCTCCTTATAGATTATATTACTATTAAGAAAATAGAGATAATAGGACCTATTATAATTACTTTATTTATAAAGAGGTAAGGCCTATAGCCTTATATCTTTAATATCTTATAAGTCTATTTTAATTATAATAAGAAAGGATATATTATAAGATACTACCTAAGTAAGCCTAAGTAGGAGAGCCCTATAAAAACTAAATAATTAGTTATTATTATTATTACTAAAAAATAAAATAAGAAGTATTATAGGCTCTTACTCTCCTATCTAAGTATATTTCTTTAGGCTTAGGTAAGAGAGAAGAGGCAGAGACTAATCTTATAAGTATTAATTAATAATAGAAGCTTAGTTAATCTTATCCTTATAATACTAACTAAGGAAAATAACTAGTATACCCTACTATAGTAGGTCTTTATAGAGATATTAACCTTATAAGAAATAAGAAATAAGAAGTAGTAGAAGCTACTATCCTAGTTAAGGATAATAAAAAAATAAAGTAGCTCTTTATAGAGCTTATAGTAGTATCTCTAGATATAAATTATATTATCTTAGGGATGCTATAATTAAAGTAATATAACTTTATAATCCTCTAAAAAGAAGATAGAGTAATCTTTAGTATAGAGTTAGCTTTATAAATTTATCTAGTCTTAGTAGAAGAGTTCATAGAAGTAGAAGATATAGTAATTATAATAGTATAAGTTATAAAAGCCCTATAAGAGATAGTAGAGAGTAAGAACTCTATATTAAACTAACTTATAGACTTTTATATAGTCTTCTTAGAGGAGAATGCTTAGGAATTACTACTATATTATAAAAATATAGATCTAAAGATAGATCTAGAGGAAGAGAAGTAAGTATCTTTTAGATCTCTTTATAATTTCTTTTTAGTAGAGTTAGTAGTACTTTATAAGTATCTTTAGATAATACTTAAAAAAATAGATCTAGAAGTTAAAGTTAGTAATAAAAATATTAGTCCTCTTTATAAAGAAGAAAGATAATATCCTCTAACTATATATTAATTATTATAATCTAAATTATATTATCTTAAAGAATTATTATCTACTTCCTCTTATTCTAGAGACTATTAAGAGGCTTATAAAGAGAAGGATTTTTATATAGCTAGATCTTTATAAGACTTACTATAGGGCTAGGATTATAAAGAGGTAGGAGTAGAAAATAGCCTTTTATATAAAGTATAAGTTATTTAAGTATTTAGTTATATCTTTTAGGCTTACTAATACTCCTATAATATTCTAGAGCTTCATAAACTAGCTATTCTATAACTACCTAGATATCTTTATAATAGTTTATATTAATAATATTATAGTATTCTTATAAGATAAGAAGGAGCACTATAAGTATATCTATTTTATAATAGCTTAACTCTAATAAGTAAGACTATTTATAAAGCTAAGTAAGTATCTCTTTATAGTAAAGAGAATTAATTTTTTAGGGTATATAATTATACTAGAAGATCTAGAAATAGAACCTTTATAAATTAATACTATTATAGAATAGCTATAACTAGAATCTATAAAGGAGATCCTAGCATTCCTAGGGTTTACTAACTAGTATAAGAGGTTTATTAAGGGGTATTCATACTTTTAGTATACCTCTTAGACCTTCTATAAAAACCTAGCCCAGGGAGTATAGGGAGGACTCTAGAAAAGGAGTTCCTAACTCTAGAAGTAGTAAATATCTTTAATAAGTTAAAGAAAGTATTTATAGAGTAGGTTATCCTTACCTACTTTTATAAGAAGTACTACTTATAGATGAAAATAAATATATCTAGATATACTATCTATAGGATACTATTATAGCTAAGTAAGGAGGGTTATTAGTAGCTAGTAGCCTTCTTCTTATAAAAGATATAACCTATAAAGAAGAACTATAGTATTTATAACTAGAAACTCCTTATAATAATAGAATCCTTTAGGGAGTAGCACCACTACCTAGAGGGTTTATAAAAAGTTTTTAAAGTTATTACTAATTATAATAGTCTTTACTACTTTAGGATTATACCCTAACTATTATAAAGATAGGTAAGGTAGTTATAAATACTTATAGTATTTAATTTTAAGATAGTCTTCTATACTAGGAAGAAGAACCCTATAGATAGACCCTTATAAAGGGCTAACTATAAGAGAGAGGCTATAAAGGCTAATACCTAGGGCTAAGGAGGGAGAGACCCTAATATACTAAGATAGTAGTTAATACTTTATAAAAGGAGATATACTAAGGTAAACACCCTAGAGGATATAAAATAGAAGGCTTATATAGTGCTAGTCTAAGGGATAGTAAACTTATAAGAAGAACTAACTTAGGGAACTTTATCTATAAATACTATATAGCTTATAGGGTGTGCTAAGGATTATAATAGACCTAGGATATATAATAAGATATATTAGAGCTTATATTTACTTTTATAGATATCTAGATCTAAATTACTATAGATCTAATTATAGATCTCCCTGTAAGTACTTCTATAGTAAATTTATAAGAAGCTTTTAATAGTATCTTAGTAGTAATAGACTAATTTAGTAAGATAGGCTATTTTATACCTATCTAGATTATCCTTAATAGGGAGAAGTTAGTAATAACTCTTATCTATAAGGTCTTCTAACTTCATAAAATCCTAGAAAAGATTATTATAGACTAGGGTTCTATCTTTATAAAAGATTTCTAGATAGATTTTATATTTTATCTCCTAATTTATAAGGGTCTTTCCATAGCCTACTAATTATAGATAGATAGCTAGATAGAATACCTAAATAGTATGCTAGAACAGTACTTATAAGCCTATATTAACTTTAGTTAGGAAGACTAGATTAACTATCTTCTTATTATAAAGTTTACCTATAATAATATATACTAGGCCTCTATTAAGAATATATTTTTCTATATAATTATAGGTGTTAACCCTTATATAATAGTAATAGATTCTATAAACTAACTAAAGAATAAGGTTATAGAAGAATTAGTTATAAAGAGACTAACTAAACTAGAATATACTTATAAGTATATAAAGGAGGCTCTAGTAAGGGCCTAAGCCTACTAAAAGAAATACTATAATAAGAAATATATTATAAAGGTATTTTAAGTAGGAGACTAAGTCTAGATCTTTACTAAGAATATATTATAGATTAGACTAACTATAAAGTTAGATTAGTTAAATACTAGTCTAGTATAAATTATAGAATATATAGGTAATCTAGCCTACTATATAAATCTACTACTAGGCCTTAAGATATATAATATATTCTATATCTCTATGCTCTATAAATATAAGGAGATAGAAGGGGTAAACTTATAGGAATACTTCTCTATCTATAAAATTATAAAAGAGGATTATAAATACTACCTAGAGGTAATCTTAGACTTATAAGGGGATAGGTAATCTATAAAGTATTATATCTAATAGAAGGGATATACTAAGGAAGATAATACTTAGGAACCTATAAAAGGCCTATACTACCTATAGATCTATAAAGACTATATAAGAAACCCTATAAGGAGGGGAAACTCATCTTTATTAAGAAAAAGATAAAATAATAAATAAAAGAAATATAAAAAAAATCCCTAACTCCTAAACCTACCATTATAAAGATACCTAATATTAAGTATAAGTATAATATAGTTTATAGGGCTAGAAAAATAGCTACTAGACCTAAGGATGCTTAAAAGAGTAGTTCTTATAGCTATAGTAGAGGTAGTTATTATACTTCCTAGCTAGCCTACTAGAAATATATACTATAAATACTAAGCTTATACTTAGATTATAATAGGTACTATACTCCTAGCTAGTAGAAGGTCTTACCCTAGCTTTAGTTATAAAAATAGCCTTATAGAGCTAGGCATAGACTTCTAGCTAACTAGGTATACTAAAGTTATACTAGTTAATAGAGTAGAGTAGGATCCTAGTAATCTATACTTACTCCTAGCCTAATAGGGGTTATAATCCTATCTAGGGTAGGAGCCCTATAACTACTACTAGATTCCTTTATAAGC